GGGAGGGCTGGGGCTGTAGGTGGTATTGGAAGGAGAGAAAATGGAAAGTCCAATTCAGAACTTTTAGCTGGGGAAATGCATTTGAAAACCTGTTGACTCATAAAGGCCCACTCAGTCAGAGTGCAGGAAGAAATTAAGCATGACCAAGGTCCCCTCAGATTTTCTTTCCGTAACACCCTACTCACAGAAGCTATAGTGAAACTTCAGCAGCTTTCGAAATTACATGACCTCAGTAGAGATCTAAAGATTTTTATTGGCCCATAGGGCAGGGTACTGAAAAGAAAATGATCTTCTGTGTCTAAAATGTGATGTTACTTTTCTGGATAAACAATAAAACTCTCCACTGGATATGGTTGGAAAAAATGAGAACCCCTGTGCTTGAAAATCTGGGATAGATGTGTGACTGTTTAATAGCCTGCTCGAGTCTTTTGGTTAGACCACCGCTCCACAGATCAGCATTGAAGGGAACACTTTGACTTCTTTGATGAGCTTTATAGACTGAGTCACATGAAGGGTGGGTACTCGGGTGAAAAGTGAATGTCACATACCTTTAGTTATTAGTCTGGGCAGGAGCTTGGAGGGGAGTTAACAGGTGCAAAATTGGAATTCTGAAAATAATTAAGGGACCACTTAGTAAATCCCCTCCCACGTAATGGTTTGGAAAAATGATGAGTATCTGGAAGGATACAGTTTCTCATGCAGATTTTGAATACTAAGTGATACAATCACAGCCACAGAAATGACCACGCCCTGAGGTAGGGACAGTACTTTCTCAGCATTCAAAAGCTCCTCTGACTATTGTTCATGTTTGCAGATAACCTGCCTAGACTGGTTAACTCAAACACCCAGAACAGATAAGCATGGTTAACAAACCATCTAACCATGCTAAGCCCATAGTTATCCCACCTAGGCATTTTATTCCTAAGTCTAAAATGCTTCAAAGATGGTGAAGTATGTGTGTGTGTGTGCACGCGCATGTGTCCATGTGCGTGTTTTGAACAGGCAAATTAATTGTGTCAACAGGAAAGAGAATAATATATATCTAAACACCACTGTTAGAAGGGAAGGCATAGGTTAGCCTGGGCTCAAGTAACTTCTTTCTAACCCATCAGCAGCATATTACCTAAGATTCTCAAGTGCTAAATTGGTCAGATAAGAGATGTGCTAAGATGTAAGATCCTCTGAACAATGAGGAAAGAAAAGTGAACTGAAAATTGCAATCTCCACCCACAAGAGTTGTGAGATGAAGTGAAAATGTTTACGGTGGAAGAAGAGAGAGAAAATGGGAAGAGGATGATATTTAATAGTAAGACAACACTGGAGACCTGGAAAGGAAAAGGATGCCCGGGGAAAGGGCTCTGGAAGCCAAAGACATAAAGCTCCCCAGGGATCTGGGCCTGGGGGTTGGGAAAGCTCAGAGGAGCTTATCAGAGTCAGCAGCCAATGGAAGGCTAAGTGGACAATTGGTGTAAAGGCAGCAGCAGCAGATGTTTTTCTGGAAGAAGAATGGTGGAATGATAGTCACAGGAAAATATTGTGACCTGCAGACAAGAGCTGTGTTTCATTGACAGCTGGACAAGAATGCACACAAACAGACATGGGGAAACACAGAGGCTGTGTCCAAAAGCTGGAGGTTTGGTAGATGGTGAGGGAGGGAAAGAGGGAGGGAGAGAGGGAGACAGTGAGAGAGAGACAGAAAGATGCTAAAAACATGTCTCACAGAGAAGCATCTGCAAGGTAACCAGGTCTGCCAACTGGGAGAAATAAAACATAAACCAAGAACAAGACATCATTCCCCCGACGTGGTTACAGGTATGCGAGCTGGAGTTTGACTGCTTGGGTTCAGATCCTCTCTGTCACTTACTAGCTGTGTGACCCTGGACAAGTTACTAATAACCTCTCTGGCCTTCAGTTTTCTCATCTGTAAAGTGGGAATAGTTGTACCATCTCATGGGCTGTTGTGAGGACTGAATGAGTTAATATGAGTAAAAGAACTTAGACTACTGCCTGGGACACAGGAAACATCAATAAATGCTAGCAAGTACTGTGACATCATGTGAGCAGCTTCTGCGAGTGGCCCTGAGCTGCACAGAGTGCTTTTTGCGTGCTGTCTCGCCCTTCCAGACTATCCATAAGACATGTTCATGATGGCTGGGTAGTCCATATATTGTCACCACATCAAGATCACACCTGTCCTCCTTCAGGGCAGTTTGTAGGCTGGCTTAAATGTGGGTTAAGCTGAGGACAATGGTAACATTCTACAAGGTTTACAATAGCTTTGGACAAGTCATTTCCTCTCCCACATTGAGCCTCAGTTTCTTATCTGTAAAATGGGGTATTATACAGACAGTGCATAATGTTTCTGTGAGGTCAACTGTGAAAGTGCCTGGAACACAGTAAGCGTCAATAAAAGTTTGCTGAGTGTGACTCTGCCATGTGATGTTGGTGATGGGTGACACGTCTGAAACCCTCTCCTCTCGGGAGAGAGATCCTAGCTGGTCTCACAGCTGCTGGCAGGGAGGCCTAGGGTTTGCTTCTCTGCTCAGAGGCTGGAAGAATTGATTTTTTAGGTCAGGAAGGAAATTGGCATTTATCTTTTCCAGTTTATCACAGGTGTGAACAGAAGAAAAATGAGAGCCTGAGTCTCTAGAAGGGTCAGTGGGGAGGGGAGTGCATTTTTAACTCTCCCCTATGGCTTTTCCTAAGGAGCAAAAGGAAGTGGTAACAGTTATACGCAACAGTTCCTGATGCCAACATCATAGGAAATCTCTGCCCTCCCCCTGCCTGGGACACAGGCTGGCTTGCTGGTGGGCATCCTACTATGGCTCTGCCCACCTCACTGGGGAGCAGGTCAATGGTCTTTCTTATGGGTGGGACCTCTAGAGGAATCTGGCTGAGGACACGTTCTCTCCATGGTCCAGACCCCTTAGTCCTACGCGCCTTAGGGCTCAGAGGCTCTCTCTGCTTTGCACGCCCTAAGACCTACTTTCTCTGGAGCTTCAGGAAAAGAAAAGACAAGAAACTGAACAGGTGCTGATTTTGCACTTCCTCCCCAAGAATATTCCGGTCTTTGTCACCATCAATGGCAGAAAACAAGGTACAAATCTTTACCTCCATTCTTGGAGAAAACACCTCTTCAGGAGGAAGAGCATGACTGCCAAGTACCTAGCCAGCTGACCACAGGGACAAGGCCCAACCAGGGCCGTCTTCAGAAATCTTTCGCTCCTTTTCTTTCCCATCTGCTCTGCCAGGGCTAACTGGGAAGCCCCCAGGGCAGTTTCCAATATATGTCTTACAATGTCCAGGCTCCCTCCCCAGCAATCATTTATTAGAAAGAGGTTTTATGATACAAATTTGATAATCTCCCATGCACACTGGCACTGTTCTAATTGAAGTTGTAAGCCCATAAAATTCAAGCCCTTTGTCTTCCTGAAGGCCACAAGGTTTAAAAAGATACTATTGTCCTCCCTAACACCCACTACATTGTCACCAGGGACTGATTAAACAGAGTCCTGAATGGAAACAGTGCGGATTTTGTCTAGGTCCTTTTCAGGCCTAACAATGCCCTTTTCAGTTCCCAAAACAAAAGAAGGTTTAAGGATCGAGATTCTTCTAAGATAACCGCATCCATATGGAAGGCAAGGTGGCCAGCAGCTGAGACCCAAACACCCCACTCCCTTCCCCCTGCCCTCCTCTCTCTCTCCCCACCCTCCAAAATCCCAGGTGATACACTGCCTCAGCCACCCTTTCTCCTCTTGGGACAAGAAAGCTAGGGCTTCAAACAGGCCCGATGCCTACTCCTCACAGACCTCATTGAGCCCTTGCTCCCTCCCCTGAATCTGCTGCCTGAAACTGCTCTCGGCACCAGCATCTCCCTGCAGAGAGATCGTCACTTCTCCACCGTGACCACTGTATAGGAGGCCCTGTGGCTTCGCACACCAAGACAAAGCGCAGGGGTGGAACACGAGACCCCGGACCAGTGCACATTGGGACCGCGGGTGAAATGAGACGGACCACTGCATCCCACACCCACGTCAGGCCACCCGAGCTCTCCAAAGTGGTCCTCCCTCAGCTGGGAGCCCTGAGGTGGGTCACTCCCCACCACCCTCTGATTTCTTCACCACGCTAGCCCCTCCCCGCCCCACTCCAGGACCAGGTGTGGCGCCAAGAAAAGGCAGGAAATCACAGGTGCCAAACGAGCCACTTGCAGGCTTCACTGGAGGTTACAAGTTCTCCGGGCGCTCTTCGGGTCCCTGAGCCCTCGGCTTGCAGCCAGGCCTGGGCCGTGCTGCTGTAGGGCGGGCCCCGTAGGCACGTCTCCGGAGAACCCTTACAGAGAAGCTCATTGTGCCCTGTCGTGGCCAACTGGGCTGCCTTTTGGTGTTTGAAACGCCGGCAGCCCCGGGAGTCCAGAGAGGCCTTCGCATCACTTCGGGCGGGGCCAGAGCGACCTCCCGCTAACAGGGACCCCAATGCTGCCTCTGCCCCCCCACCCCGCCCCAGTATCTTCCTAAAGCCGTGTGGGGTCTGCGATCTGCCCTTCGACCCTGCTCGGGGTGGCCTTAACTGAGCCGGTCAAGGAGTGGACTGGCGCCCCGAACGCAGGTCGGGAAAGCACAGTTCCCATCTACGTTCCCAACAGGCGCGCAAGGGGACCCAAGCCTATGCATTTTATTCTCGCACCACAAAGAGGAAAAATATTCTATTCTTTTAAAATAAACTTGCTTCCCATACAAATAGCTATTTTAAAATATACAAATAAAGTTCAAGCAATAAAATCTAGCTCTGAGGCTGGCGGTCGAGGAAAGAGGAGAGGGAGGATCTTGGCGAAAGTTCCCCGCGCGATGGCTGGTGAGGGCGGGGCAGGGACCCCGGCGCTGAAGGCAGTGAAGCCCGAAGGGAGGTGGGGCCCGGGGAGCGCTCCAGGTCTCCAGCTCCAGACCCACTCCGGCCGCAGAGCCGGCTCCACAGTCTGGGATAGCCCCAGGTGCCCGCGCCCCGCAGCTGCTTCACCAGTTCCAGGAGACCAGGGCGGGGGGCGCTAAGGGCTGGTAGGCGGGGAAGAGACCGAGCGCTGCGCCGGGCCCGAAGGCGGCGTAGCCCGGCAGAGGGCAGGCGGAGGCCGGGGACGGGCCGCTCTTGTCCTGGGCGGCGGCCGTGCCCACCTCACCGCTGCCGCCGCACGGCTGCCCGTCACGCACCAGCACGGGAACCACCACGCGGCGCAGCAGGCCCGGCGCGGCGCGCAAGTCGGCAGCCGCTGCCAGATCGGGCGACTCGGGGGCCCCCGGCGCACGCGCGCGCTTCAGCTTGTAGCGATGGTTCTGGAACCAGATTTTGACCTGCGTGGGCGTGAGGCGCAGCAGGCGCGCCAGCTGCTCGCGCTCGGGCGCCGACAGGTAGCGCTGCTGCCGGAAGCGTCTCTCCAACTCCAGCGTCTGCGCTTTGGAGAACAGCACCCGCCGCTTCTTCCTCTTCTCGGCCTCCGAGCCCGGAGACGCGCGCCGAGCGGACGGCCGCTGCGACGAGCCGGGCGGGCTGGTCTCGGGGCTGCTCTCGTCCGATGCTGGGGGCGGCAAAGCAGACACGGCCTGGTGAGACGCCGGCCCCTCCGCGCGCCGCCAGGCGCCGAGCCTCCGGCCGGAGGGCGCCCCAACTCGCCCGCGGCTTTTGGTGTGAAGCCATTTCCCTCCCTGGGCCCACATCTGGATGCCCACCTCTCCGAATTCAGTGACCTTTTATACCACAACCTGACCGCGCCCCCAAAGAAACCCACCACGGGGCCCTCTTACAGCAAGTCGCACTGGTCCCTGCGCCGGCAGACGAGTTTACCGCAAGCTGGCTCACCGACACGGGCCACCTCCAGGTCGACTGCGCTATGGTTTGCCGGGGTTTGCCAAGCCCTGAATCCAGGGGAACTAAGCTCGCCAATGCTGCCCATCCCAGACCGAGGCCTGGAGAACGTGGCCGTGTTTTCAGGCATTTAAGGGCAATGTCTTAAATATTTAAATATTCTGAGCCCTAGAAACAAAACTCAAATCCTGAGCGTTAGTGCCAGGCCCGGGGATCTGCTCTCAGGATGTGCCGACCGGGGACGCACGGCATGGGGTTTGAGGAGGACAGAGCCTCCGGTTCCAGCCCTGAGGAAACCCAGACCCTGGGCTGCAGTTTCTGCTTCCCAGCCCCGCAGGGGCCGGGCGCTTCGTCCTGCGCCCCACCCTCCACCCCGGCCGCCGTCTTCCGCTCACTCACAGGGGTAGTGGCCGCGCTCCGATTCCAGCCAGGTGGCGCCGGGGCCGGGGGCGCGTAGCTCCGGCTCCCGCCTCCGCAGGTGCTGCGCGTCTTGCTCGGGTAAATCCAGGAGCCTGCGCACGGTGAAGCCGAGGCGCCCGGCGGTGGCCATGGCCGAGGAAGGGAAGGAGGCGGGGGCAGGGCGGGCTGGGAACCGAGGGGCGGCCGGGGACGCCGCTCCTACGGGTGGGCGTGGGAGGCGCCCGCCCTGCGCTGGCTGCCGAGATAGCGCGCTTACAGCGGCATGCTTGTTTATATAAACAGCTCTCCCCGCCCGGGAGGCTTTGAAAGCCGAGGTCCGGGTCTCCGGGGTGTTAAGTACCTGAATGAGTGCCGGGCCAAAGCCCCGGCGAGCCCGGAAGGTGCCACCTCCGCCCCCGCCCCGCCCCGTCCCCCGCCCCTCGGCGCCCCGTTACCTCCCAGAGGCGGCAGGAAGCAGCCCTCGGCATTAGCGATTCTGTCTGATTAGCCCAAAGTGGGGACAGATAATGGGAATTGTTACCAATGAATAACATCTTGGGTGGCGAGGGGTGACCACCACCCGCCCGTCCAGCCCCAGCTTCCTCCTCCTCCTGGGCTGACACAGGGCCCGGCCCCGCGGGAGCGCCGGGAAGGGTGGGGGCGGCATGGGTGGGTTTATGAGCACCCAGGAATTTATTCCCTGTTTGCTTTATTCCTCGAGCTTGTTTGCTGGAGCGTTCGTTTCCCGCAATTATCCGGAAAGTGATTTACAAGGCGGCGTTAAACTCTGGCGCGCGCTGTTTCTCTCTGGTTGGGCTCCTCTCAGGAGTTAGAGGCGAGAAGTTTCAGGCGGGCACAGAGGGGTGGCCTGGCCCCGCCGGCATCTGGGCCGAGGGTTTCGAAGGTCGCTAGGAGCCTCCCCACACCCTATACGTCCCCCACAACTTCAGGAGTACAGGGAAGGGCTGGCAGCATCCGGGGAGCCCCAGCTCTGCCCTGGGTTCCCCACACTCGCTAAACGGAGGCGGATCGGGCCAAGCTATTCAGGGCCGAAGTGCCAGCCTCCTGGGCCCGGCCGCTGCCCGTCGCGGGCCCGGGCCCAGTGGCCGCGCTCCTCATAGCTGCGCCCAGGCCCGCTCCAGGGCCCACGAGCAGCGGCGTTGCGGAGGGCGGCCTAGGAGGCCTTTGCGGCCTCCTTGGTGTCGCCAGACCCTCTGGCGCCAATGGTGCGCTTCGGCTTCGCGCCCTCACCGTCAAGCCCAGCGCCAGGGATGCGGCGTTTGCCCAAGAGCAGGCCTCGGGCCTGGGCTCCCTGTTCGGCCGCGGATACGCGGCCTGGTCCGGGCGGGAGAATTAAGGCTGGGCCGGCCGCGCAGAAGAGGCGGCCTGCCCGGGGTTTCTCGACATCTTCTAGTCCCCACGGCCCCACTGGAGAAAATGATCGATGGAGAAGGCACAGGGAGCCGGCCGGTGTGGAGACATTTCTTTGGCCCATGGCTTCTCTGTGCCTGCTTCAGAGGCGCGTTCAGAGGCCTCTCCTCCCGCAGCCGGGGGTTTGGGTATTTGGTTGCTAAATTTGGGTGAGGGGCGCGGCGCTTGGGTGGCCGCACCGGAATCCTGGCCCCACCTGAGCTGCACTCGGACCTGGCTCCGGTGCGGTGGCCGCGGCCCCGCCGGGCGGCCACCCTCCCCAGCAGGTCCCTGTCAAGCGTGCCCCAGGCTCCGGGGCTGCGCGGCGCGCTGGGTGGTCGGGCGGAGGCAACCCCAATACAGGCCAACTGCTAGGCCGTGGACAAAGGGGAAATGGAGCTCGACGACCCGGACCTGTTGGAAGCATTTGTTCCAGTCAAGATTTTGCATTTGTTCAGTCCGAAATAATGCGTGATTGACGCCTGCTCACAATGCGCTTTAGCGCGCCGGGATAAATCGGAGCTTGTCCGGTGTTGTCATGGTTTTCAATGGGGTTCAATGGGATTGGGAGCACGATCGACTCTGCTGGCCGTCTCTCCGTGGCCCCGGCAATAGATTTATTAGTTATGTCTTTTTAAATAAGATTAAATTGAAATGACTTGGCTGTCTTCTCCGCGATGGGGCGGAGGAGGGAGCCGGGGGTAGGCAGAGGGCGGCAGAAGCCGGAAACCGGCACCTAAGCTACAGCGTCCTAGAGGTTGGGCAGGTCACAGACTGGCCCAGGGCTCGGTGCACTTCTCTCCGGCTAGAGCCCGGTGCCTGGCCACCTCTGCCAGCCCATCCCCTGAGAGGTAGAAGGAGGGCACTGACGTGCTGTCCTAGGGAAGCATCAGGACAGACTCCCAAATTCGGTCTGAACTTCCAGGATCTGTCAGGTAGAAGGAGCTCTGGCCTGGGTGTCGGTAGGGTTGGCATCCCAGCTCTGCCCCTGACTAGCTCTAATCACCTCGTCACTCTGAGCCTCTTTTTTTCTCTTCTGAAACAGAAGGGAGTAGATTTGGTAACTTCTAAGGACCCTACCAGTTTTATGATTCCATACCTCTGGGATTTTTCTAAAACCGTCTCCATTGTACTAACCAGAAGACTTTGGTCTCCCTCCTCCCTCCGGTTTCAGAAATCTCATCCCCAGGGCTCTGACTCTACATTCTCCAGAATGTTCTGGGAGACGACGGGCTGTCTTTTGAGTTTCCAAAGGAGCCTCCACAAGAGTGGGATGGGGTAGATAATTTTGGAAACAGAACCAATTCAGGAGAAGCGAAAGCGGAGTCTTTCCTGGAGTGACTGACCTCTCTTAGCCTTTTAATCTATTTAACATCCTAAGCCCACACTGACGTGCAGAAATGAGTAAATGGCACTCTTCAGTTCTTAAGAGCTCTTCAGCATCAAATATTTGCTTTTACTCTTAGTATTTGGCTCCCAAAGAAGAGATATATCCTCCATCTAGCAGTTGTGCTCTGGGGAGGACCTCACTCTGGGATTAGCTCCAAATATGACTTACAGCCTCACCTTCCCTGACCTGGGAACAGTGTTCCTGGGCCGCAGTCTGTGTTTTGAATATCCCAGGGGAACTCTGTACCTGCTGGTTCTAGAAAGTGCTGCAACTTCCCTGCTTCATTGTGGATTCCCCCCTCCTCTGCAGACGCCTCTGCGCTAGTCCAATCTTCCTCTCAACTCTGCTCTGGGGCTTTATCTAAATTATCTCCAAGAGCCAGAGCCTGGGGACTCCAGGAGGCTGTTCCACTTAAATTGTGCCTTCTGAAGAAATGGAGGAAAGGAAGTGGAGAGCCAGAATTATCAGAGAAAGGAGATTTCTTTACTGCCTCTTCACATTGGAAAAACTCAGACATGGGAGGAGAAAATTATTTTGACATTGAGTCAATAGGAAAAAGTATTCAAGATATTAAGTTTTATACATATTGGAAATATCTGTATGAATTGCCTCCAACTCATGAGAGATTTTTAGAATCATAAGTAAACATATAACTGGATATTCTTTCCAGATTTTAAAATTGTGCTCAGTGTTCTGGACACTTGAACTTATTTTGCAACTCAACATAGCTTGTGAATATTATTATTTAATTAGGGAAGTATTTGTTTCCCTGGAATTGGATGTAGTGCATCTCAATCCTAATAGGAGTTGTTAATCTTTAGGCATCTGCGATATCGTGAACATATTTAAGCAGTCTGCACTAATCACCCCTTCAAAAGTATTATCCAAGATGATCATCACTGCTGCGTGCTTAATAATTTAAGACTAGAAAATTCTGAAATGAAACTAAAGTATCTTGATTTTTTTTTAAAAAAATGATTGCATCTATATCTTGCATTCCGTTTTTAAATCCCTCCATTTTGGTTAAGTGTTTCACAAAATCCTGCAAATCTATACAGTATTGAAGAGAGGCAACATTGCAAATTCCCCTTGATAGATTGAGGGCCCTCAACTGCCAGGACATTTTTCTTTGCCTCATAGCAACTGCTCTCCCCTTTTTTATCAGTATTCTGGTTAAAATAGCAAAAGGAAAATAAAAATGGGCTTTTGACGCTTCCAAGAAGAAGCGAATGATCTTGATTGGCCTTAGGATGGAAAGAAAAGACAGCATTTAAAATCAAGCCTCTTTCCCCTTCCTTCTGAAAACTAGTTGCCATGAATAAGTAAACATTTCCCTTTTAATGGCTAATAATCAATTGCTTGGTGGTGGTCCAGGCCTAGCTGTGAGTGTTTCTTAGTTGTATTGATGATATATACACACGGGATGAGGAACAGCAATTACTTTCAGACTAGGAATTTAGTACATCTTCGAAATGGGTTTTAGATTTTATTGTTTAATGTCAAATGACAAGATTTGAAAGATCCCATCTTAGGTCCCTTAAAATATTTACTTTACATGGACTTTTTTGTTGTTGTTCTTGATCCCTAGGAGAAAAGCTTTTCTCTTCAAATATGTGTATCTAGTTGTTTAAATACATGAAAAAATATATAGGAGGTAAAATCGTTCAATGAATGAAAAAGTGAATGTATTTAGTTAAATATCTATGGTTTCCATTTCCTAAAGAGCCAGAAAATAACTTTTTTATTTTTTAACTCGTTTATCAGTTTATTGAATCCTTCTGGTCCTTCCCATGCCTTACAATGGTATCATAAGAGAAGCTGTGATAGCATGGATGTAAGTTGTGAGAATAAAAATAATAGCACACCTTGGGGAGGGTGCTAAGCCTCATTTGTCCAATGCTGAACTCCTCATATTTGTTTAATCTTTTTTTTTAAGGTACCAATTTATACTACTTTGCTTGACTGATAATATAGTTTATATAACACAGGATCCTTATTGATGTTTACACAATACAGGTCCAGGCCCTAATGTCACGTAAGAGTAGACTCTGTCACTGACAGAGTAGACTGACCCCAGGAACATACTTTATAGTTGCCCCAGTACCTCACCCAGGCCAGGCTGCAGCACTTGCTTATAACCACCAGCACTTCTGTCCAAGCCAGTTATTATTTTTTCTTAAATCACCCAAGCATTATAATGAGGCCTCTTTTTTTAATATACCTTTACTTTGTCTGAGATTAACTTTGGGATTTTAAAATAATAGCATTATTAAAGTGAAATATTTCTGTTTTATTTGACAACAATTTAAACACTAAAACAGTTACTATGCTGGAGAAGTATTTGTTACTATTTGTTGAAGACAAGAACCACAGTCCCTCACAAGGCTAGGGAATCAAAGATTCCACTTTTCATTAGTGATGATGCTAGCGGTAGAAGAAGATCACTTTATGTTTTATGCATTCGAGAATGTTTGCCATGTGCACTCATTCTTCTTATCGCATCCCGAGTCAGGATAGATTACCTAGAAGAAGCAAAGCTTAAGGAGAGACTTGAAGGCAGAT